GAATTTGCCAATAATCCTATTTTTTTTCTCATGTTAGGGTTGTCTTTGAAGTACTGAGACAGTTGTGTTTTAAAACTATCAGGTGGGGATGGGCATAAAGATAAGGGAAGGTAAATGCAATAGAATGCATTGTCTATTAGGTACTTACTGTTAGTTTTCATCCTATTCAAAATATCAAGAGAGTCAAATTGCAGCAAGAAAGATAGAAATATTCCTAAATTTGGTTTCATTTTATTTCTTTCCACTAGCCTTAAAAAATCCAAATTCACGAATGTAAGACCCAGCGTGTTAAAGGATGAAGATACTATCTATATTTCCTTCCTCAGCAGGAAGTATATTTTTTGGTGATTACATTAAATTTGTAACATAACAGAGGCATTGTGATGTGTGTGATTTTTTTTGGTGATTATATTAAATATATAACATAACAGAGACAGCATTCAAACAGACTTGCAACTTATTTTTAATAAGTGCTAATACATTTATGGTATTTTTGCCAGACTCTCTTGCTACAAGCATTTGGCTTCCCAGATTATATCCATGAAAATTAATGATCTGTCACTGGCTTGCCTCCATCCTAATGAAGTAGTTACTCAGAGTGATTGAAGTCAGGTGTGGGAAACTTGCTTCTCCTGCAGATAATAAAGCCATTTCCTTATTCTTTACACAAATTTAATTAGGTGAAAGCAAAAAAAAAAAAAAATTAATTACTGCCACAGAATGATTTTGCGTTTTTCAACAAGTGAAAAAGGTTTTGTTGGTGTTTGAAAATTTTCTTCCCAGAAATGGCAATAAACAGAAGACATACCAAAAACTCAAATGCATTTGTTATTTCTTTGTTCTGTGAAAACCAAAATACATGATTCATAAAGTGAACATCTTTATTGAGCAACTCATAATTCACAGGGCTAAGTGCTATGAAACAAACAAAATGGAGGGCTTGATAAAGAGTAACTGAGAATAGAAAGAAGAGGCTTGGGTTAAGTGGAGCCATCAGGAAAGTCCCTCTAAGGAGATGGCATTCAAATGGAGACCTGCATGCCATAAAGCACTGGCCAGGACAGGGTATGGAGGAAGAATGGTTCAGGCATGGGGAAGACCCAGCACAAAGACCCTGAGGCAGGAATAAATTTGTCACATTCAGCAAGGTTTCTCAACTGTGACACTAGAAAGACTTGGGGTTGGGTAATTCATTGTTACTCCGCATTATGCTGTGCATCATGGCATGTTTAGCAGCATCCCTGGCCTCTACCCACTAAGTGTTGATGCCATCCCACTGCCTGTGCTTGTGCCAAGCAAAGTATCTCCAGGTTTTGTCAAATGTCCCCCTCGCCTTGGGGCGAGAGCACCACCCATGACTGAGAATTATTGCATTAGAGGAAAAGACATAGGCCGTGCAGCTGAAGAGCAATGAGCAACGGCAAGAATTAAAACTATGGCAAAAAATTAAAATTAAGCTAGAGTCCATCTCTCCCTACTAGCACCACTACAGGCCTCACGACCTCTGAGATCCTTGTTCTCTGGCATACTGCCAAATGCACACTGGCCACATTTTAGTTTGACAAAGCAAGAACTAATTTGTCTCAGAGAATTAGGGAACACAGGTCTCTAGTGCCCGATGCCCACGTTCCCACCTGCACCACCCTGATGGGCCTATGATGCCCCTGTCTTCACTCCAAGTCATGTAACTGGACTCACCTCAGCCTGGCTTCACAGGCTCTGCCTCCCATGCTACCCAGTCAACTAATGCCTTTGTCATACTCTGCAGAAGAGCAAAGACTGATTTTCTCAGAAACCCAGAGAGATGAGTGTTCTAAGATTTTAGAGAAATCTCATGAAAATGGAGATTATAAAACATATCTCCTAGGTGTTAAGAAAGAAATGTCATGAGCAAATAAGGATTTCAGATTTTAATTCCTATTTTATGCATATTTTTCTCATTTATTTTGTTTCTTTACATTTAAAATGGGATTATTTTTACTAAATACCTGTTGAGTCATCAGATAAGTGTAGGGGAAAATGAATTACAACATCATGCTCTTAAGTAAGCCTTTGAAAACCCTACACAAATTAGTGAAAGGGAGGCAGAGAAGCACATAGTATTGAAATAGCAATGGATTACCCATAGAAAGTTAACTTTGCACCAGGATAAATTAAAAATGTGTAATTACAGAATATGCTGACTGGAAGCAGAGCTAACCTCACCTTTCCTTTGAGCCCCAAACCTAGGTGATGCTCTGTGAAGTCTGTGCTAGCAAAAAGATCATTCCAATCCTTTCCAGAGGGTTTGAATTAAATAGACACAACTTGTATTTAAAGAGTTCATAAATAGTGCTGTTTGGACATATTTACTTACTTTCTTCTATATCATATCTACTGAATCAAAGTTTTACAAGAAATCTTATAAGGGAAGGTAAGTGCAATTGCAGTCATTTTATCCTGAGTAGGAGAAAGCTGGTGGTCTTATTTTTATGTTTAACTTAATTAGCATTGATTATATGCCATGAAGCATTTTTCTAAGCTGCTTGTATGCCATGAAGCATATTCTAAGCATTTTTCTCATGTTGATACATTAAATCTGACAACAATCCCATGAGGCAGGAACTACTGTTTTCCCTATTTTAAAGATAACAAACATGGGCACAGAGAGATTAAGTAACAAAGTTGTGCAGCTACTAAGTGAAGGATCCCATGTTAGGACCCAGGCAGAATCTATGAACCTACCACCCCAATAAGCTTTCAGCAAAAATTCAGAAGGTGGAAACACAGGGTCATCTGCTTTTCTTTATTCATTTGGATAGAAATAAGAAACACAATTCTCCTAAGAATCAAAGAGCTTCAGGCATAGAAAATAGGAACTTAGGGTACACGCAAGAAAAAAAATGCCAGCCCATTTGGGTTCAAAGATATCACATCAGACTGCTTCCACATCTGTAGACTTCATTCTCTAAACATTTGAGAAAAAATAATAGGTTGCTAATCATCAACTGCCAATTTCTGATGAGAAATGGGGATGGGGGTGAGTAGTGATCTGAGAGGTGCTGGAAAGGGAAGGGTTGACCTCATAGGAGACTTTATTGGTTCACTTTCTGTCAGGCTCATGATTCCATCTTATGCAATCTGGCATCAAATAGGCCTTGAAATCTTCCCTCTGTGCCCTGTTTCCCTGCTCACTTCACTCTCAAGATTGCTAGACCCATTTGTATCTTTCATTTCCCTCACTTCTCTGAAACACAATAAAGGGATGTGATACACTCTGCAGATTAGTGCCTTGATAATGCTATTTCAGGTTTGGGAGGCATCAAATAGCAAAATACATGGTTCCATCACTGATAACATATTTTCTAATCAAGCATTATAGGTGTCCTGTGGGCAGTACTGATGTCACAGTAGACATGAAAAGAAATAATGTTATTTGGATAGAATTTGAGTCAAAATAGCATACAAAATTTTAAAATGACAGAGCTATACCTACGTTTCCTTTTTCGAGTGTCTATGTAAAAAACTTAGCAGCTTTCATGAATTCTGTAACCATCAATCCATTTTAAAACTCATAGATTATAACAGTTTTAAAAAACTTCACATTTTTTCTCTAGCACCTACCTGGACCAATCATTATACAACTTTTAGAAATATATAAATAAATGATTCTTTAATAATGCATTTATGCTTTGGCCAGAGAAGAAATGACTGAAGGTTATTAGGTGACATATTTGTCTCTGGATATAATGAGACCAGAACCGGTAGGTAGAGAGTTTTTTAAAACCTTATGATCTATGCATAAACTAAAATTAGGCTGGACTCCGAAGCCCAGGACTGGTTCAAGACAAATGCCATTATTCAATCAACAGACTTCATCAAATGTCTGCTTGGTTCCCGGAACTGTGGTGCACATTCCAGTATGTCACTTAATATTCATGATAATCAGATTAAACAAACATCACCAGCCCGTTTATTTTTAAACAGATTAGGAACTAAATCTCAGAGAGAGGAAGTTTCTGACCCAGGCCACAGCCCTCAATTGGAAATCACACACAGGTCTGCCTAGATCCCAAGTAGGAGCCCAATAAATGGTAGCTCTGGGGATGTTGGCCATGATGATGTTTCCATTTCAGTATTCCCTATACAGCACATAGCTGTCATTAAAGGCTGTTGACTGAATGAGCCAAATTAAGTCAAATAAAACACAAATGAATTCATGTTAAGCACACGACAAAGTTCAATTGGACTTGTGGAAGAGGGGAAGCAACCTTGGCTTTTTAAAATTAGCCATATATGAGCCACGGAGCCAGGCAAAGCTGCTTAGTAGCGGGAAAGCCAACGTGGTTTCTTCTGCCCGGAACTCTGTTGTTCCCCTTTGCCACCTAGGTAACTCATGTTCACCTTCAATCTTGGTTCCTCCCTTCCTCAAACGCTATCCTTGCTGACTAGATCAAATTCTCCTGTTACCTGCCCCCTTAGCACACAAACCTCTTCTACGTAGAGCTGGCCACAGTCAAGGTTCAGATTGGACTGCATGAGTATGTGGCTGACATCTCTGCCCCCTTGACACCATACACTGCTTCCTGGTGGTGGGGGCCATGCTGGGTTTGGAATGCCATGGTGTTGCTATTGCCTGGACAGGTAAAGCAGGCACCCAAGAAATATTGACCGAATCGGAGAACAAAAGGTTCAATTCTCATGATGGCAACCAACAAGCAGAAAGCCATTTCCAGGGCTCTGATGCTCGTTTTAAGCAAACTTGGCTGCGCAGAATACAACACTAATGAGATCTCCCTGTGTGACGGACACAGCGAGTTCTTGAGTCAGGATTGCATGGCAGCTGCATCTCATTTCTCCTTTCACTTTGTGCCTAATTTCTTGGATGGGCAAATATTACTCTGGCATAAAAAGCAAGGTGAGCCGTCTAAGGGTTGCTGGGACACATCATAATGAATGTAATGAAAGCATTGTTTTTCACATGTTTATGATCTGCCACTGAGAGGGAGCAGTTTCTAGGAGTACCAGGGACAATGCAGAAAGAGCCTGTGGAGAAGATTGACAACATATGCTCTCCTCAGAACACAGTGGGCAGGTGCACTTAAACTTCAGCCTCTTCCCAGCTGGAAGTAAAATGGATCTGATCAAGGTATTGGGACCAAAAGGGTTTCTGTAGTAAAGCTGCTCACAACAGCCCTGAATGGAAGAAATTGTGTTAGTGTCAATTCTATCACCGGCTTGCTCCTATTAAACAAAGCTGGTAAAGCTCCTAGAGACCACTTTCAATTTCTATTTTAACACTAGAAGCCTCTGTTTTCCCCAAGAACATGATATTAAACCTCCAAGTGCCATCTATTCTGTTTCTTCACACCAGGTGTTCCTTCTGAATGCTGGACTCCTTCTTTAGCCAAGAAGCAAGGAACATATGGAAGCAGGAACCGACCACAGGGCAAGTTTTTCGCTATGGTATCATTTGGCACAGCACTTTATCTTTTTATGACCTTCGTGTCACATTACCACACTTGACTAAACTTCCTTGGCACATCCTGCCCCCAGCCCCACTGAGGTGGTGTTTCTCAGATCCTAAGACACTGCTCCATCTTTCTCACCATTGTAACAACTGCCACTGTGGGATCAACTGCTTAGTTAACCCATCTCTTGACAATCTGAGCTCCCCGAAGGCACACCAGGCCTTAGGCATGCATTTCCAGACTCTACATGGTTTTTGACTTCACAAAACCTGACCTTTGAATCTCAGATTTGAATCCTGGCTGTGCCACTTATTCAGGCATCTTCAAACTTTTTCTGTAAAGGACCTCATACTCAATATTTTCAGCTTGGCAGTCTGTAAGGTCTCCGTCACAACTACAGAACTCTACTGTTGCAGCACAAAAGCAATCAGTGAATATATACAAATTGTATTGTGTTCCAATAAAACCTTATCCATGGAAATTTAAATTTCATATAATTTTCACATCATGAAATGTTACCTTCTTTATACTTTTTCCCCAACCATTTAAAAGTGTTAAAGAACCACTCCTAGTTCTCAAACATATGAAACAAAATGACTGACCAAACTGGGTCCATGGACAATAGTTTTTCAGTGCCTATACTTATTAACTATGTGAGCTTGGACATAGCTTAAACCTCTATGTAACTGTTTTATCATCTGTAAAGTGATAGCACCTCCCTGATAGAGTTTTTGTACAGATTATATTAGGTTAAAATACAAACATTTAGAACATCACCTTGCACATAATATGCACTTAATCAGCACTGTTGTTATACAGTATGCTTAATAACTTTTAAAATATGTTTCAGTTCATAGCCTGCTATCTCTTCATAATCCATCAGTCAAGTACTGAATGGTTAATTCTCTCTTAAACATCTGGTTCCCTTTCATCATTCTCCTTGCTATTGCCTCAGCATTACCATCAAAACCTTTCCATTGGTCCCCCTATGCCTTCATTTCCCCCTCTCTAATCCATCCTGTCAACATTGACCATTAGAATGAATACGCTAAAACCCGATTATAAGCGCAGGATTCCTTTATCATAATCTCTCTTCATTATCTCCCCAAAATGAGCTCTGGGGATCATTAATTCCAAGAGTTTAAAAAAAAAAAAGAAAAGAAAAGAAAGAGTTTGTCTTCTTTATGAAAGAGCTGCTTGTTTAAATAAGAATAGACAAAATGGGATAAAACAAAATTAAGCAGGCTACTCTCTTCACCTTAGTACTTATAAAACCCTTTAATATGCTAATACACATTGTCAATCTTCAAGAAATTCACAAAGGGAGGTAATTTCCCAAATATAAATGATCACAGTACTCTGTTCTCAAAGGGCGACTTCCAGGGTCCCTGTTTTTAGGGACAGCCTTTTTAAAATGCTGGTCCATCCAAATTCCTTAGCTTGGCATGATGATTAAACATGGTCTAACTCCTGACTGGCACACCAGCTACATGTTCGCATGCTTATTGCTCTTTTGATATCTTGCTGTGTCCTCGTGATTGCTGCATCTTCTGCCTGAAATGCTTGTCCCTTCCTTGATCTGTCTTGTTTTCCTTTAAGAAGTACTCTTTACTTGCCCTGGGCAAGGACAAGGGGTTTTCCTTTAAGTTCTACTAGAGATGTGTTCATGCCTTGCTTGTGTACTCAGCACATTGCTGTGATATGTATGTACATATACAGTTCACCCTTGAACAACATGGGTTTGAAATGCCCAAGTCCACTTATATGGGGAATTTTCTTTTTAACCAAATGTGGATCATAAATATCAATAATCACAGGGTGTAAAACCTGCATATACAGAGAGCAAATTGTTATATCCAAGGGTTCTGAAGGACCGACTGTAAGACTTGAGTATGGGCGAATATTGGTAGATGCAGGTGTCCTGGAACCAATTCCCGTGTATACCAAGGAAGAATTGTATCTATTTCCCTCAAAACAATGACTGTGAGAGAATAGAAACTATGTTGTGTTAATGTTTTTAAAAGCTTTCAAATAAAGTCCTTTGTGTTCAAATCTGATTGTATGCCTCACAATCACCCTATGATGAAAACAGTAGAGACGGCATTACCTCCATTTAATGGTCGAGGGCAGTGAGATTCAGCAAGTTATATAACTTATTCTCAAGTCAAAAACTGAGTGTTAGAAACCAGATGCAACAGCTTCAAACTCCTAGCCCAGGGTCCTCTCCATTACCTACACAGCCTCACCTAACAAAGCATGCCCAACTACAGCCGCAGTCATGACTCACCTCTGATGAGTGTCCTTGATGTGGCACAGGATAAACAGCAGAATCCAGAGGAACCCCAGTGTGTTGAGTGAGCTGATTCAGGTGGGTTCAAATACTCTCCCAGATGGTCCATCTACAAAACCTGGGATCAGAAGTCTGCTGTGGAAGCCAAATTGCAATTTTTACAGGAACCCTCAGGGGAATCCCACCAATTCCTAGCTTAGGCTTAACTTGTTCTCTCCTTGGCTAGCTTTCTCTGCACACTCTTTTCCTCCCCACAGCCTCCTAGCATTGAGTCTTCCTTCCTGCCTTTATCTTCTTAAACTGTCACCTCCTCCTCCTTCCTCATATTAGGGTCTTTACAGCCTCTCCTCCAAACCACCAAGGCTAATCATATGGGGCTGGTAAACAGTAGGTAACAAAAGTGAACCACAGGCCCGTCACTAAGAGGATCATTTCCATTGGAATTGGGAAAACATTCTCAGCTCCTCACATGCCATCCAGCAGCTGGGATCCTAGGGGTGTGGGTGTGGGTGTGTGTGTGTGTGTGTGTGTGTGTGTGTGTGTGTGTGTGTGTGTGTGTGTGTGTGTGTGTGTGTTTTACAGCCCTCTCTCCTATCTCCTTATTTATGAACTGGTCCATCTTATAACCTTATAAGGTTCCCTTCACACCTTTCAAAAGGCTTTTCTCCCCATTCCTCTACTAGGTAAAAACACATATTGGTTTGGATATTTATGTCTACTGACACTGAAAGTGAGGGAAACAAATTTCAAGATCTCTCAAAATCTCTGCCATGTTTATGGATGAAGATCAAGACATAGAAGAAAAAGGCACACTCAGTGGGATTCCATAGGGAATGTAAGGAAGGGACTATTTACAGGGGCAGGGGCAGGGGCAGGGCAGGGTTGGGGAACTGAAAAGGAAAGTTGAGTAATCTCAGTACCAGCAACAGCAGGCAGCCAGACATCATAACCACCTCTCTAGGCTGCAGGGGCAAGGAGACAAAACAGAGTTGTTGGAACTAAAGAAGAGAGATGCCCAGGTAGGATTCGATTTGATGAACTGCAGTCACTGCTGACCTGCAGCCCAGCCAGCACAGGAAAGGGTCAGGGTAAGAAACACTCCAACTTCTCCTCTTCTGCCCTCCAGCTTCCTGTGGGTACCTCCCATTCTCCAAACCCTCTTGGAAGTCACAGCTCTAGGAAGTCCAGGTGACACAGTCCATAGAAGCCAAAGTCCTGGACAGGACAGAGGTAGCAGAGAATGGATGGAGGACAGCAGAAGACAAACATAGAACAGCCAACATAAGCATACGTTACCATGAGTCACACAAGAAAATACAAGCCTCTCCCTGGTTTTATCCTAAGCGATTTTTATACAATGTTTGCAAAGATGGCTTGACTTATCATTTCTCTCTTGATAAAATGCCCTGTACTGCCTCCCCTCTCTACACCTCCCATCCTCTGATGAGAGCAGTGAGGCTATCAGAAAGGATAGCTATTGTTTTTCCCTTCCCAGTGCAGCTCCCTTTTCCCTTTAAGGAAAGACCTCTCCCATTCAGCCCATTGCATCCCACTTATGCTTCATCCCCCAAATTAGAAGTGGGAATGTGGCCCTGGCCTAGCCAATCAGTGTGTTCCAGCACCCTGGCCACAGCAAGAGAGTCAGGAATAAGCTTACACTCAAACCGGCCCAGGAAATGGAATTCAAAGATTTTTGCTAGAGACCCTGAGAAAGGGAAAGTATGTTTCAATTGTTGCTGGCTTATGAAATTGTGAATCTAGAGTTTCCAGAAGACATTTTTCTGTCTTATGGAGACAGCTTGCTGGTGACAAAACTCAGCTTAAAGGAAGGCAGAGCTGAATCATAGAGACAAGGAAGGGAAGTGAGGGAGACAAACTCGCAGACACAGACTGACTCCAAAACTTGAAGAAATTGCTTGAGCCCCTGAATCCAGCTGTGTCTGAAACAGTATTCCTGAACTTTCCCATAGGCAATCCACTAAATTATTCTTTGGGGCTTAAGGCAATTAAAGTCGTATCTTGATTACTTGAAATGAAAACCTCCAAATTAATACAGGTGGCATGCAACTAGGGGCCTCACAGCCGGACAAGGCTGCACAGTGAAATTTTGGAATAAAGACTCTCTTGAGAACTATGTAAGACTTGGCAAAGAACATGCATTAAACTTTGAGATAAGCTTAAGACATCATATTGCAGATGTGCCACAGTCTCCTGTTCTACAAGAGGACTATAAGGTGTCCTGTGCTAGCCAGCCTGGAAGGTCTCTGTATTCTCTTAAGAAGCTGTAGAGCTTCAAGGAGATTTGACCAACTGTTTTAGTCAGAGTTCTCCAGAGAGACAGACCAGTAGTACATTTGGAGAGATATATGAAGAGGGATTTATTAGGGGAATTGGCTTAACAGATTATGGGGAAGTGGAGAAGTTCCCCATAGACAGGCTATGTCTGCAAACTGTAGAACCAGGAAAGCCTACAGTATGGCTCAGTCCAAGTCCAAAGACCTCAGAACCAGGGAAGGTGATGGTGTAATTTTCTATCTGAGACTGTTAGTTTGAGTCCCAGAGTCCAAAGGGTGGAGAACAAGGAGTTCTGATATTCAAGGGCAGGAAAACATGGGTGTCCAGTTCCAAGAAAGAGAGAGGAAGAATTCCCCTTCCTCCACCTTTTTGTTTTACTCAGGCTCCATGGTGATTAGATCACGTCCTCCCACATTGAGGGTGGATCTTCCCCAGTTCAGTCCCAACCTCCTCCAGAAATACCCTCACAGACACACCCGGAGCAGCCCATTCATTCCAGTTTAATGCCGAACTGTCTGGGTTTCCCTTTCAGCAGAATAGGGACAAGCTAAGTACCTACTGAAACATGGGAAATAAATACTGCTTTCCCAGCTCCCTGAGTATCTTTAATCCCGTCGAGTTGAAACCCAAAACCAATCATCACACCAAGGAAAACCACAGCAAAGACGCCAGAGTCCTAGTAAATTCTCCTAAACCTTGCCCCTTACTTATCCCGCTGGCTCCCCTTATCTTTACCTAAAGATGGACCGCACACTGAGTCCCATTTTCATCCCACACTCTCCTTTGGTCATTTTCACCCCACACTCTCCTTTGGCTATGCATCTCTCCTTTCCTAAATGTAAGATTAAGACTTTAAAAAGTGGAGACCAGGCACAGTAGGTCATGCTTGTGATCCC